ACACTTCTAGATATAAAACCCAATACTCTGTTTGCCTTATTTCGAACATTAACACACTGTTTTCTAGGCCGTAGGTCCGGGCTTTACAATACCCCTAGGTCTCTTTCACAAGTCGACTTCTCTAGGTTGATGTGTTGTTAAGGCTGTATACATTGTCAGTTTTGTTCTTCCAATATTAAGTACGCTGCACTTGCTGGTGTTGAATTTCGTTTGCCATTTTCAGACCACCCTGCAGTTTATTTAGATCCTCCTGTAATGCATTTGCATCCTGCCCTGAATTAATCTGCCGCCCTATTTTGGTGTCATCCGCAAACTTGCTTATGTCACTGCTGATCCCAGTGTCTAGATCGTTTATGTGAATTATGAACAAGAGTGGGCCAAGTACTGACCCTAGGGAACCCCACTGGTTACACGGCCCCACTCAGATTTAACACCATCTACGCTGACCCTCTGCGTTCTATCGGTGAGCCATGATTTTATCAATTTAAAACTTTCCCTCGATACCATGAGCCTTAATTTTTCTCAGAAGCCTCTAATGCGGTACTCTGTCAAATGCGTTGCTTAAGTCTAAGTAAATAACATCGTAATTTTCGTCATTATCTACTACCTCGAAGACTTTCCTAAAAAACGTCAGCAGATTTGTTAAACAAGATTTTCCTTTGTAAACCCATGTTGAGGTGGTAGATATAATGTGTGGTTTGCTGGTGGTTGTGGTTGTAGTGGTACTGGTTAGTTTCTAGTGGTGGTGGTAGTGGTACTGGATGGTTGTTGTTAGTGGTAGTGTTGCTGGTGGTTGTTGGTGGTGGTTGGTTGGTAGTGACACTCGACCCTGCCATTGTTATATGCGTCTTGTCTTCCTTTGTTTTCACGTTGAGCGTCATTCAAGTGTCTCTGTGACGATTCCCTCTTCCTGCACCTTTCTTTGTTTGTCCTTTAGTCACGAGTCACCTCAGCCGGGAGTCACCTCAGCCAGGAGTCTGCCCAGCAATTATCCGAGTCACATTTCATTGATTAGCCCAAATTATGAACAAATTAGGAATGAAGTATATAATATTCTAATTAAAATATAATAAATAATTAAAGATATATAATTGCATAGGGATTGAAAAAATAAATATGTATTAATTTTATTTTAAGTATGATTGATATACGAATTACTGACCGTTGTTTGCACGTTTCAGGTAGATGGTTGTTACAGATGAGAAGGAGGAAGGTGGTGCTGACGGAGACCAGGTGGGTGTGGCAGCTCAGGTGTTCTACTAAGGGTTCAAATGTGTTACGATACTGGGGGGTGTGTGTGTGTGCGTAACGCAAAGGTGCGAACAGGTGCGTCACAGGTAAGAATAATTAGCAGGACAATACGTGAGTGGTGTGCGTGAGGAGCTGTGATGGTAAGAGAGACCACTGTGATCACAAAGCCTTGCCTCGCCTCGCCCAGCTTGACCTGTACACCTCTAATGGTCCGTCCTTTGTGTGTGGTCTTGACCTTTGACCTACCTGGGCACAGTGGCGGATCCCCCACTCTCCTCCCCACACACTGCTGACGCAGCCTCTCCCTCCTCCTCCGCTCCACAATCCATACCCCCCACCCCACCTGCTGACCCCACCACCCCACCTGCTGGCCACACCCACACCCCACCTGCTGAGCACACCCCACCACCCACCTACTGGCCACAACCCACCCCACCTGCTGACATAGCCACACCCCTCTACTGTGCCCTCCTCATTCCCTCTCACTGCTCCCTGCTAACACGACCCCCTTCCCCTCTCACTGCTGATGGCCTCCCCCTCCTAACACGACCCTTTCCTCTAACGCCCCTCCCCTCCTAACACGACACCTCCCACCTCCTGCTGACACGACCCATCCCCCACTGCTAACAAGACCCTCCCTTCTCCTGCTGATCCCAGCCTCCTCTCATTGCTGACCCAACCCCTCCCCCTCTCATTGCTGGCCCCTACCCTCCCCCTCCTAACACGACCCCTCCCTTGCCCTCCTCTAACATTCCCCTCTATCGACCCTCCCCCTCCCTGCTAGCCAGACCCCTTCCCTTCTCCTGCTGGCCAACCCTCCCATCTCACTGGCGGCCCTCTCCTCCCCCTCCCAGCCCTCTCCCCTCCCTCCCCAACACGACCCCTGCCCCTCTCCTGCTGACGCCGCCTCCCCCCCTCCTACTGCCTGACTCTCCCTCTCACCCCCACCCTCTCTCCTGCTGACATAATTTTATGCCTTATCTTAAGTGAAGTTGTGGGTGCGTTGTTATGAGTTCTGTTATGGAAAATACACCTCAGGATTTTTGAGAGTCAGCATTATTTCCTATCTTAAGTGTGGTTAGATGCGTGTTTACGTGTCCAGCTACACACACACACACACACACTGACTGTTAAGGTTGTTTTACTGTGTGTGTTTTACAGTCGCACTCTTCGTTTCCTTGCCCACCTCCTCCTGCTCCTCTTCCCCTCCTCTGCTGCCTCTTTCCTCCTCCTCTTCCTTCTCTTTCGTCCCACCAGTTCCCAGCCTCCTCTTCCTATGCCGCAGGGTTCCCAGTCTCCTCCTCCTCCCAATGTAGGGCCAACCCCAGGGCCCCAAGACCAGCGTGAGAATGTCAGGATCAGGTCGTGGTCTGTGTAACCCAGCCTGACTTAACCTAACGTCAAGCTAATAACAAACAACTGTAACCTAACCTACACTAAGCTAACTCACTTTAACCCTAACCTACCTAACCTACACTAAGCTAATCTCCCTTTACACTAACACTTAACTTTCACTGTCTCATATTTATATATAACCCAGGGAAAAATTACACCCCGTATTCGATGATACAGTCTCCCACGCATTACCTCTATACTTTCCTTCCTGCTTATCCATACACCCACAGTCCCACCCATACACCCACAGTCCCATCCATACCAGTTACCCACTTACACCCTCAGTCCCACCCATACACCCAGAGTCCCACCATACACCCAGTAACATCAATACCCACAGTCCCACCCTACACCCACAATCACCCATACACCCACAGTAACATCACACACCCTCAGTCCCACCATACACCCTCAGTCCCACCCATACACCCACAGTCACCACAACCTCAGCCCACCCACAGTTACACCCACATACACCCTAGACCCACTCCCTTCTAGTGCCCACCCACACCACGTTCCTCCCACACATGCGACCGCACAGAATGGGCTGCAGCCAGGCCTATTGGCCCATACTGGGCTCCGCCCCACACCAACCCCTATTGCTCGTTTAAGCATCCAACCTATGTTTGAAGCTATCCAGTGTAATTCGAGTTAATGATGATGTTTGGTAACTTGTTCCATGCATCCACTACCTCTGTTTCCAAACCAGTATTTACCTATTTCGCGCCTAAATC